GAACAGACACAAAATAGAGCAGTGAGATTCATAACAAACGAATTTTCACACTTAACCAGAGTAACACCTTTAGTAAAATCACTAAATTTAGAAAGCCTTCAGGACAGAAGACTCAAAAGTAAAGTAGCAATTATACATAAAACACTGAACCATAATCTTCAAATACAAAAACAAAATTTAATAAAATACTCTGAAAGACACAAGGCACATTCCTCGCCTCATATGCTAGGACAAATTTGTACAAATATCCCTTCTTCCCTAGTGCTATTAGAGCATGGAATGGGTTGCCTGAGCTAGCCAGGAAAACCAGTGACTTGGCAGAATTTAAGTTAATATGCATGACTAAATGCATGACGCGTAGGACGTAATCATCATCTTTTTTGAAGTAACGTCTGTATTATATAAGATAAGATATGAAGTCCTCGGGTTGTCCAGTAGGACATAAACTTATGGCTAGAATAGATGTCTGCAACTTTAACTGATATGAATGAAGTTCTTATAAACATCTGCATCTATTGTTAACTGTTTGTCTTACGGTCAACTGTGTCCAGTCTGGTAGATCTAAGTCTAACCTTCTGTCAACTAGGAAAAACACATTAAAAGACATAGATTTAAGATAGAAATATGCAGAAACAGATAAACACAAAATAATATATGATAAGATTTTTACTAAATCTACCATAATAAAATTCTTGGCCCTGATTAAAAACTGAATGACCATCACTAATTCTTGCCGTGGACGAAAAAATACGAAAATGTTCACCTGTTGTGTATGGCTCTTTTTGTCTCGAAAGGCAATGGATGCGCCCAAATGAGTCACTGGTTTTGGTTTAATCTTGAGACGGGGCAGAATCTGATGTGGCTAATCAAGCCAATTTTACCTGTTACTACTTACCTAAGGTCTACAACTAATATATTTTCATGATCAAAACCGCAGCGCTAAAATATACCCCAAAAAAATTCCGCAATTTCGACCCAACATGTTTTTATTTAAAGCCAACATATTGAGAACTACGAGATTATTCAATCGTTTAGCTCAGTCGGAAGAGCGTTAGAGGGTCAAGGGTTCAGGTCGGCGATTAAATAACGTTTGTCTAACAATTTAATTTGAATCAATGAAACTAGAAATCGAGTTCTCGTACAAACAAATGTGTTGGGAGGGGGGGGGGAGCTTTATAAAGCGGGCCGTGCCAATTAAATGTAACAAATACCCACCTTCAAGTATTGTAAGGTGCGAGGAGAGACACGTGACATATGGAGTTCACAGGCCAGATGTGGGTGTGTTTGGGGGGGGGGGGGCGAGTTGAAGCAGGCAGTTCCAATTAAACGTAACATATAGTAGAATACATTGGCCAAAAGAAGGTTGTATGCAGTTGTATTGAAAGTATTTTTATTTGCAGAGTGTAATAAGAAAACAGGAACAGGCTAGAAAACTTTCCTAGAGCCTATCAAAATAGTTTAAATACTAAACTAAAAGCAGAATAGTGTGAAGTATTAGTAATTAAGACTTTTTGTTACGGATGAGAGTTGGACGTTGATACTGGAGTTTACCTGCTGGTCTAACTCTACATCATAGATACGTTTTTGTGAATCTCCTATGAATTAAATATAACTTTATGGACTGCACCAAAACTTTACGTTTTAAAAGGATCAGTCGTGTACCCCCTTCTCTTCCTTTTGTAACATATTTCAGCTTCCCCCCTCTACCCCCAGGCACCTAGATGTTCTAAAATATAAGCTTATCTATCCACATCTTCTCTCCTATTTATAAAACGGTAATTTCATAGTCCCCCTTGCTCTGTCTTTGACTTTGGTGAACAGAAGGTAAGGGGTGGAGAGGTGTACCAATGTTATTTATTTCATATTGAACGTTTCATTGGAATACAAAGGACTTGATACAATAACAGAATGCTTTCGAATCCTTCCTTTTAGACAATCTCGCTCAATTAAATGTAAACAAGGACTAATGGGAATGTTTGATAAATGGCTTTACTGAAACATTGAATGTTTGATAAATAGCTTTACTGAAGAATTGAATGTTTGATAAATGGCTTTACTGAAACATTGAATGATATATAAATGGCTTTATTAAACATTGAATGATAGATAAATGGCTTTACTGAAACATTGAATGATAGATAAATGGCTTTATTGAAATAGTCAATGATGATAAATGACTAAACTGAAGAATTGAATACTAGATAAATGACTAAACTGAAGAATTGAATGCTAAATAAATGGCTAAACTGAAACAAATGACATGAATGATGTCGGAATAGATAAATATCCGATGTTACGATAGACGCTGTCACAGAAAGTGGGTCTTTACAGGTCGATGATAAACTATAAGCCCAAAAGAAATAGATATCGATCAGGAAATAATTATTAAGGTCATCAGTCAAGGTGAGTGAACTTTCTAATGAAGAGTTCTGGTTAGACAATACGTACCTTTTACATGGTGAAAGTTTCAATTGAAAATAGACCTAATAGATAGATAGATAGATAGAAGACAGACAGTTAATAAGATAGATAGACAGACAGGAAGACAAATAGATAGATAGATAGAGAGAGAGAGTTAGATAGATAGACATATAGACAGACCAGAGACAGACAGACAGACATAGATAGATAGATAGATAGATAGATAGATAGATAGATAGATAAGTAGATAGATAGATAGATAGATAGATAGATAGATAGATAGATAGATAGATAGATAGATAGATAGATAGATAGATAGATAGATAGAGAGAAATTTAGTAACAAGTCAAACAGACCCTAAATAACACATTATTTACTATTTGAATGATGCTGGTAAGTTAAATCACGCCTGATGTAAATATAGCTAAAAGCTGATTATACTAAATGCACTGGTCAACACATTCATACATTCAGCCACTGCGTTCTATTTAAACTTGAAGTAATAAATAAGCTAAATCCTATGACATTTTAATTCTAAAACTCTTTTTTTTAGGTTTCCAATACGGTTTTGGAGTTAGGAAAGTTAAAATTAAAAGTCTAGTTGAAATAAATATCTTCTTTTCTTGAAACAAAAAATTTTTCTTTTCAAATTTTGATGTTGAACTAGTTCTTGGAAAATCCGCCCATCCCACACTTGATGTTCAATATTTGGAGGGACTCTCGGAATACATATATTTATTTCTCAGAGATTTGTGATTTTGGGCACATCGGCACAATTTAGGCCATGTCGTGCCTGCAGTCCCTCAAGGGCCACTCTCCCTCCACACAGCAAAGGCAATATATTCTTCTAAAAAACAATAGCTACTTTATTGTGCCTTATTTTAATTAGTAGTCTTCTACACATAGTATATAACGTTAAGAGTTTGAGAACACCTGTCTATTGAAATTCTCTTGGTAAAGAATTAGCAAGGTAAACTTATAGACAAGAAAATACATTATATTTGTAATTGCCTAATTTATTAGCATGAAAACAAGATTAATCTTTTTATCCACATGTCTCGAGATAGTTCAAAACGATACTGTGAACACAAAGACAGAAATGATAGATCATCCAAATCATGTAGAAGCGTTAAATGTTTGGAGTTTCCACTTCTAAAAGCTGTTATCTCTGGATCACACATAGCAATCAATGGGATTATAGTGTGCCTGTTCATATTTTACATACATGTGCATAAAAATAAACTTTTCAAATGATGAACGTAGAAACTACGTGAGAGAAATGTTGGCCACCAAAAAATGATGAAAAGTAAAATATCGGTCTTTAAATAGACAGTCTTTTGGGTTGAATAAAGTCAAGATATTTATTTTAAATGTTTGTAAATGTTTTACATGTTTCGTATGTTCCTTCAAAGTTGAAGATAATGTATTGCCTAATCCAAACCTCCCGCTGGACGACCGGGATGGGAGCGGGCAGGGTTTGATCCTGGGACCATCGATAAATCCGAACGACAGTCCAGCGCGCAAACCGCTCAAGCAGGCAGCCATTGTTAAATGGAATTGATAAAAAAAAGATTATATGTTTTATTTATTGTTTTATTAAACTTACAGAAATAACGGTATCAAAAAAAACTTTACCTGCCCCTTGCATTACTGTTTGAGATTTTGTAACTCTAAATGATGATTTCGCTGGACTAAAATACAGTTTGCCTTGCGGTTACAATTTAATGCTTAATTTCAAATTTTACAAAAACAAATAAAAATGAAAATCGGACATCATGATATTTTAGATCATTTACAGTTCTGATGCAAAGGCTACTTGTTTTTTTTTCCAAAAGTGAACCATCTAATTTTTAAAATTATATATGCAAGCAGATTTTTCAAAAAATTACACCACTTTTCAATGAAAAACTTCAGAGGTAGTAAGTCGTATTAAAAAGTTCAGAAGCTTTGTCATGAATAAAGTAACTTCATTCATAGATTCGCGCGTTGGTACAAAACATTTGCATCTAAGGTCACAATGGTAAAAGTGTCAATGGATCATTATAAAATAAATTTCCCCATCAATTAACTAACTCATTGAATAGAATACTGATTCAAATATCATTTTTTAAAAAGGATTTTGATACGAGCTTTGTTTGAATTGTAAGTTTAAAAAAAAAAATACTTTTTACCGTGCAGTTTTCACACCTCCTCCTTAGGCTCTACACTTGAATACAAGCTGGATCTAAATTACAATAGATAGAGGCCAGATCTACATAGATCTATAGACGAGTTCTAGTCTAGATATAGTAGACTCTATATCAAGATTCTAGATCTAGACTAGATATCTAGATATATAATATACTTACAGTCTTAGATCTAACTCTAGATCTAGATCTAAACTTTAGACTTAGAGACTGAGATATATTTCTAGATCTAGACTTAAAGACTTTGATCAATTTCTAGATCTAGGCATAGACTTATATTTTGAATCTAGATTTAGATCTAAAACTAAGTCTAGATCTAGCAAGATCTGTCTAGTTTGTATCAAACTAAAAGTATAAGGAAAGATTTCAAATATATTGTACGTGTAATTATATGTTTCTGTAGTGTAGTGGTTATCACAATTACCCAACCCGCAGAAGGTTCTGGGTTCGAAACCCAGTTGAAATTTTTTATTTTATTTAGTTAATAAATATCTCTACATTTTTTTTGTGAGTCACATCCTGTAAAATAGATATGAATTTTCTGATGATTTTTTAAGTACATTTTTTTACAGCCTAATATGTTATATCCTCTACCAATGTCTAGATCTGTCTGTCTGTCTCTAGGTGGACCACTTCGGGTTGATTTTAAGTTTGTGTTTCCACACAAACTGTCTTTGTAACCTTGTTTTTCGTAATTTTTAGATGATTCTCTTTCTTAACCTAAAGGTTTGCTTTTTCTTACATTACCAATAACTTCTAGATCATAATAGTTCATATATATTTATACAGATATATGCAAACGCGACATAAAACTCTTCAAAATCGACCCTAACTGCTGGGAATAAGTGTCACTGGATAGATCCACATGGAGAGAGAGCATAAAGGAAGGGTCACAGATTGCAGATGTCGTACACAACAGTAGTAGAAAGAAGGGTAAATATGCAACGGCGCCTGGTGACTACATATGCTAAAACCTATGACCGCAGCTGTGTATCAAAGATTGGTCTCTTTAGTCACACAATTTGTTTTGTTCATGGCGACATTCTTGTATGTTTTCGAATCTTGGAAGCTAACTGAAGCATTAGATAGATACATCCTAGCCATGGAATCGAGATGTAAGGTATAACTTACATAGACCGCACCACAAATAAAGAAAATTTGAAATCAAATCAAAATTTTCACGACTGTCAAATAACGCAAATTTAAACTGTATACTGTATGGTTGTATCGCTAGGTCCTCAGGGCTCACAGACACGTTCCTGCAAGGAACATAAGTAGAGAAAAGAAGAAGAGCGACAGAGACAGTGATGGGAAGACAACATCAAAGAATGGACAGGCCTGTCGGAGAAAGAGATTCTAGTCAGCGAGAAAAACAAAGAGGAGTGGATAGAGACAGTCGACAGATCATGTGTGGTGCCCCAATGACTCAACAGACTAAAGGATAGATAAAGGTGATTAGCTTCACATACATGTAAATACGAGATCTCTGTCGGATTAAGTGGAGATTCCTATGGTCAAACTGGACAACTAATATCTGATAGTGACTATAGATGCGTGCTAGGTGATTTGTGTTTAGTCATTACATTGATTACAATCAACTATTTGTCCACATTTTAGAGTTGTTACTGTACTCGCTTTGTTCGAATATTTTCGGCCCCCCCCCCAAACTAGTTATGTGTGATGACTTTTATTGACCTCTTCCATGACGTCACGTATGTGCTGTGTTTACGTCAAGTCATTCACATTTGTGTAGTCCTCAAGTTGTGTGACACTTCAAACAAAACTTCTGACCAAGATTAATGATCTTAACCTTGAAAATGGTGGCAAATAACAAAAAAAAAAAAAATGAAAGCTTAAAGGGACGCTTTAAAAATAATTAGAGTGAATGTTGCCTTTTAAGCGGCCTCCGAAAGGGGAATAGACGCTATTAGTTTTGTGTGGTCTGTCTGTCTGTCCGTCCCTCCGTCCGTTCCGTTTAGATAAGATATTGAAAATCCGACATCATTTTAGACCATTCAAAGCTCTGATGCAACGGCAACATTTTTCCTTTCCTGAAAATAATCATTGCCTATGCATCTCCATAGTACACTTAATTTAGCATCATACAAGATCTGTCAACCTTCTTTCTCCATTCTTCTCTGTCATTTTATTCTGATATACTTTTTGAAAATATTAAACCATGCCTTTTTATCTGCCTGGGTGGGCCACTTCGGGGGCCGATTTTGAATTTGTGTTTCAACACAAACAGTCTTTGTAACCTTGTTTTTTCTTATGTCTCTCTCTCTCTACTTATTATGTAATGCTGTCTTCATGTTACCATCGTAAGTCTACTTCTAGTTGACCTGTAGTTGATTGGGTCTTGATTGCCTAAATGTAATGTGGTAAAAGCTTCTATAAATCCGTCGCTCCGTCGCCACGTTTGTGTCTCAAAAACTAGATATGATAGTCCAATTTGTTTTGGTCATGGCGACATTCTTGTATGCTTGCGAATCTTGGACACTAACTGCTGAAGATCCTAGCCATGGAATCGAGATGCCTAAATGTAATCGTTCTACTGGCTCATATAGTCTTTCATCGACCTAACAATTTGTCATGCAGCACCATATTATATGATCAATGCATGTCTTTATGAAATTCGGTCATCACAAGTTCTTCGTGAATAAAGTTTGATTTTTTGTTTTGTTTTTTTGGGGGGGGTTAAAATCAATGAACTACAAGAACCAATGTCCCATAGAAGTTTGATCTTTTAAACTACAAGAACCAATGTCCCATAGAAGTTTGATCTTTTAAACTACAAGAACCAATGTCCCATAGAAGTTTGATCCTTTTAACTATAAGAACCAATGTCCCATAGAAGTTTGATAGACTTTGACTATTCAGCTTTCTCAGTACAGCAAGACTTTGACTATTCAGCTTTCTCAGTACAGCAAGACTTTGACTATTCAGCTTTCTCAGTACAGCAAGACTTTGACTATTCAGCTTTCTCAGTACAGCAAGACTTTGACTATTCAGCTTTCTCAGTACAGCAAGACTTTGACTATTCAGCTTTCTCAGTACAGCAAGACTTTGACTATTCAGCTTTCTCAGTACAGCAAGACTTTGATAGATGATGTTATATTGTTTGACTTTCATTTTCGTAATACCAGAACTTTCTTCAACGTTGTAACACGATGGTTCAAAATCATGTAAAAATGTTACCAGGAAATGTGGGTCAACAGTCAACTATTGTACAATGTTTTGTTACGACCTTTCTAGTTTGTGTCGTCTGTCATCAACATCTCCAGGTTGTTTTTTTCCGTGATGTAAACAGGTGAACAATACATGAAGTAACCACAACAGGTGAACAATACATGAAGTAACAAAAAAAAAAAAGACTATAGAATATTTCACAATAACAATAAATGTTCGTGAGAACATTTCCTTATCTTTAACATAGTCTTAACCGGTTGAACATAAAGATATTTCTCATTTCAAAAGGTTGCTTTTATTTAAACATTTAAAAACAATTTTACTTATAATAATTGCAAAGCACGTATCTTTATAACTACGATCTGCAATGACCTAATTACAATTTACATTTATATTATTGTTACACATTTTGACTTTGTAATGCAGTTACAATAAGAATACGTATGTTGCTTTGCGAAACTTGGATGGAGCAGGTTTAAAGATGTCAATACATACAAGGGACAGGCTTACAGACTTATCAAAGCGAAATTGTAATCTCTCTAATTCTGTAGTAACTTTGTGTCTCAGTCAAAGTCAGAGAGTGTAAGTAACCCTAGAAGTCGCAACTCAAATCTTGTTATGTCACCATTACTGCTGTAAAGTGAAAGGCACTAGTCTGATCCAGGTTGAAAGTGAATTAACATGGAGAGTAGAAATATTTCGATTCATTTACCATGTAAACATATGATCTACATCCTGATGCATTCATAAAGAGATTTGCTCTTATATCTAGTTGTTCTTATGTCAACATTGCATTTGTCCCATTACACAATAGTTTCAAAACAACAATGCAAAATCAACATGTTCTGATCTAGTTTTCTGATGTTTAGACTCTCAGGAATGATATAGTGCAGTGATTCTCAGACTTACGAAACACATCCCTTTAGGTCGCGGATCAGATGAAAACAAAGTATTTGACTTGCCCTTAGTTACTTTCGTTTTCTCACGTCAATTAGCACACACACACACACTTACATTGAAATAGCAAAAATATTATAAGTTGTTTTTATATTTTTTTATCTTTTGAATTTAAGTTATATTACTTCTTAGTTCTTATAGGTCTTGTATGAAACGTTTCAATTCTTCAATAGCAACGCTTGGCTTTCAGATTGTAATTTTTCTATCAACACAGGTAATAAATCTGCATTGGATTGACAATGATTCGGTAGATAAATCTGTAGATACATATTTTAGTACGTTTTCTTTTAGCCAATAGCAGCTGAGAACTAAATGCACTTTTAATATAATGGGGCGCACATCTAAAGTAATTAGATCTAGTTGGTCCACTGGACGAAGGTAACTGCCTTCACAAGATCGGGCAGTGTTAGTGTACGTGATGACACCTCTTTAGTATTAGAGAAACTTCTGGAATTACAAGCAGGTGAGTTGTATAGATCAACATAAAAACAACTTATCAGTCATGTGATCAGTAAAATGTGACGTTATGTGATAGCTTCTGGTGGATGTGCACATTTGAAGGACTACATCTTAGATGTGAAATAGTTCCTACTGACCAATAAGACAATGCGTTGGAAGGGAAAAGGATTATAATTATGGATTTTATTCTACCACTTCCCCTGAAAATATAAACTGACACACATTAGAGAATGTCATTCACTTGTCACATTTCTGTGACACTGTCATTTGTGTATTCACTTTCAATTCATTGTTCAATAATGGGGGCGTGGAGACTGAGTGGTAAAGCGCTTGGCTTGCGTACCATCGTGTCTCCGGTTCGAAAGTCAGTGAAAAAAAATAATTTAGGACGCCCCTAAACCACTCAGCTCTAATGGTAACCTGACATTTTTGGGGGGAGCCTGAAGGCGGTCATTATGCTCGCCACATAACATCCATATTAACAGTAGGCCAGTAGATCATCTGCCCCTGTAGATTGCAAGCTCTCAGATGGTATCTTATTTTACATTTACTTTACCTTTGAACTTTTGCAATTTGACGTATCATATTTTATAACCTCTATTAGAAAGAACAATTTTTTACAAAGCTTATACTCTGTCGGTCTGTCTGTCTGGGTGGATACTTTTACACTTTTTCTGCCCATCGGCCACTTCTCATTCTCTGATCAGGTTGAAATTATGTAAAGTTATTCATCGTCAATGACAACACATGAATTAATAATAAAAATAAGTAATCATCAGTGTCAATTGATTATTATTGGAAACAAATCTTGCAATATTTAGAAATACGGCAGCGACTTAAAAAAACATCTTATTGAATTGA